TCGCTTCCGATCCTGAGAACATGATAGCGAGATATTCTCGACCCACCCCGAAACTGAATGCCCGTAATATTGCTTTTCCCGCGCTTTTGATCCGCTCCTCGAGAACACCTTCGCGATAACAACGATCGGTTATCGAGAGGTACGGGTTATTCAGTCGCAAAGACATCTTGACCCTCTGCGGAGACGAAACGCTTTTCTTCGAAAAAAGATCTTTGAAAGAAGATCCAGTGATTCCTCTCATCAAAGATTATTAAACGAAACAAATCTTCTTTCTTGCTTTTATTTATCATATATACAACTATTTAAAAAAGATATATATTTGGTTTATTATGTTTTAAAATATATGAAAATTTTTAAAAACTCTTTCATTAATTCTTAATTGTTTAAATTTAACTTCAGAAAACGAACAATTTGATATACCACTTTGAAGTTCTGCACTTCGCTACGGAGAGTTAACGGTACGCGATATTTAAAAGAAAGCGGCAGATCCGCTATATCACGTCCTTTGTTCCTAATCACGAAGTAAGGAAGTTCGTCCGGAACGTGCAGGCAGAGTCGCTCTTCTTCCTCGACGACTCTTCTATTTCCTGCACGGCATTTATCGCGCAAAATTAGTGTCCGTTGCACTCCGAAAAACACGACTAAGCTCTCTTCCCAGGCCACGATTACTTACCCGATAAAGCCACGTTCGTATTGTTTGTAACGATGTCCACAACGACATCGTCCGCCAGAAGCAAAGCGAGAAATTCTTCCTTCGGAAGTTCTGGATACTGCGCGGAGTCTTTGCTTATTCCACGCAGCATCCTCGCGTCCCCTTAAATAGAATTATCTGAGACTCTCGAGATTTTGCAATTGCTTGGAAAAAAAAGAATAATTGAATTACAAACTTTTAATCCCATTCGTATACACTATGTACATGAGTTTCGTAACAACGCAAATTTAAAATTATATTTTGTAATGACTCTGGAAGAATCAATTTATTCTTTTCTGAAAGTTCTCTAAAAACAACATTATTATACTATAAAACTTTAAATATATAAAAAAAAAAATAATATAGTAGAAACAAAAATGCATAAGAAATGTAATACGTCCTAAAGCAAATATATAGATGGAAAATATATGATATCTTCTTTATACTTAGGTATCCGCTATTTTTTTCAAAAAATTTTTAATTCTTTTTTACAAATTAATTAAATAATTTTTTTCAGGATTTAAAAAATTCCTTCTTTATTCTATATTAATAAATAATTAACAATATGAAACTTTAATGGTACTAATTACGAAAAATTTATAGTATTATAAAATGATCAAATACAAATAATACCACACTGGTTTTCACGAAGATACGCATCTTTATCTTCCTATTTCCTAAAAAAAAAAAAAAAAAATCCGAGCGCGAAATTCTTGTCTCAAAAAAACATAATACGTTTTGCACGAGCTTTTCCGTGATAGCCTTTCTTAGATAGTCCCACCTTCGTGCTTCGATGGCACGGCAGAAGGTGGTTGCATGCGCGCGACTTCTGGGATTTCGCAAGCGCTCGACGGCACTCTCCGAGGCCGGGGATAAGGAGAAACACCTGGGAAGATACAGGTGAGATCAAGAGAGAGAGAGAGAGAGAGAGAGAGAGAGAGAGTACTGCCCGGAGAGGGTCGGCGAAGCTCTGCAACGACCCGAGGATAGAGGCTTAGTTGATAGAGCAGAGATGCGAAGGAGAGTGTTCGCGAGTGGGAAAAGAGAAAGAGAGAGAGAGAGAGAGAGAGAGAGAGAGAGAGAGAGAACGGAGAATATGGGATCACCCGGGGTTAGGGTTCGCGATGCTGCGCCCACGTATCCATTGTCTCCGCTTTCGTGCGCCGCTCCGGGAAAAAGGACGCGATTTGCCTACGGTATACAGAGCCCGCCGACCCTTTCTCGCCCGCGGGATGCACTGTTTCCTTGAGCGAGAGAGAAAGGTGCACTAACGGCGCGACGACCAATAAGAATACATACACACGCATATATATACACATATACTGACAATAATACAGTGTAGGATACATTTCTCAACAAATTTGAAACTATCTTTGTCTTTTCATTAGCAATTATTTCAACCGAAAATAGATAGAGCTATTTAATATTGAAGATTACGGAGCGACAAGTTAAAGCTTCAAAGTTGTTAATAGATAATGAAACTGTTTTTCAAATTGATTTGATCATCAAAGATTATGTTTTAAAATAAAAATCAAGTTATTTTTTTCCCCTCGATATTTGCTGTAGATCGCTAATGAAGCTATTTGCAATTATACATTGTTTCTATATTTTTTCCCTTGTTAATAAAACATTTTATATTCATTACATCAGTGTTTATTCGTCGGAATTATTCTATATTAATCTACTAGCAAATGATAAAGCCCGGCATAAATTATCTTCAGAAACGATATTGTGAGGATCACTGTTTTTTCGCGCGCGTGATATATGGGTGGGAAGTACGTTTTTTTATCTCTTTTTTTTTTTTTTTTAATGGATGTACGTTGTCGGAGCCAACGGTACGAAATGCGTTCTAATCTCGTTAGGCTGAATGACGTCAGGCCCCATCCTCTCGCGTCTTTCCAATTTGTGGGCACCAGGGACGATTAGACATCATCTATCGATGGCTTTTTTGTTGCGGACGAAACGAAGCGAGAACATCGATCGTTTCTTCTAACGATGTAGCCAATGTCACCAATATGCGCGCGATTCATCTATCAAATCTCGAAGACCGCGTCACTTACGATTTTTACGTGATTTTGATATTGTGCGGTTCTTAATTGCGGTTTCTATCAATCTTATTGGTTGATTCGTATAGAAAGTATAGAGAAAGCTGATATCAAGTAATATCTAACGATCTATCTATTGTATTCTGGACTAACTGCTTTGTCAGAATGATTGGTTAGAAAAACATTAGATAATACAACTTCTTTGCTAAATGCGGATATTATTCCTGATTCATAGCACAAAGTTGAAAGTTTATGAATATTATATATCGTTTTATGTGCAAGAGAGAAAGCTAAAATTAACGTGATAAGGCTCTTATCTCTATATTACTTTCTCTATATCATATGTCATATGATATATATAATACATATTAGTTTTTTAGCTTTTTATATCATATATTACATATAATATTTATATAGTAAAAAAGTTGATTCTGTTATCATTTACTAAATATCTTGTTGACTTATTGCATTACATATCAATAACTTGACATTAGATTGAAACGACCAACGCCATCCGGTGTCTTGGCAGTAATCAAAGAAATGTCATGCATCGTTCCAGTGCATAATTCGCTTCAAGGGCAACATTTTATGCCTTGTTCTCTCTTCCCTTCCGTATAAATTTATCCACCACCCTAATACGATAAATTGCCAAGGTTGCGTGTTTAAAAAGCTGCACATTCTGACGGATGCATCGCGAACGATTTTATCGGTGTACATTTAGCGGTGTCGCGCGCGTCATCGCGATTCGTCTCGCGTTATTAACGATGACAACGACGACAATGAATTTCAGATGAATGGAGTGCAAGGGAATCTGATGACTCCATAGCCGTCGTCCGTTTCCGGGTAGCGGCCACCAACGTCGCGCACGACTTCTCTCCCGACGATTCCCACCTACCATAGTCGTAGCGAGGTCGAGTCGCCTCTAAACGTATCGCTGCCACTGTTCTTTAACCTAATCCGTACTACCGTGCTTGTAATTAAACACGATATTTAAACACGATAAAATGAATTTTGAATTAGCGAAATCGAGGCAGCAGCGACTATATCTCGAGGCCACGTGTCTTTCATGTTACAAGATTTTGGTCCGCAGCATCATAAATCGGTATGAAAAATATTGTTGCGTTAATCAAAATTCAGTGAAATTACAAATGCGTAAAATATATTCCGAAATACCTTTTATATATATTCAGCGACATTTATTTAATATTATGCCATAAAAGAGTAAAAGAATCTAAAGAAATTGTCACGTTTATCCCATATTTTCCCTTTCATTTCGCGTTCAAAAATAATTATTCTGCGAACGATAAAGCACGCGCGCTCATTAAAGGACTTTTTATTTTGCGGGAATGTAATATTCTGAAGAATTATTTGTTTGTGTACGTACCACGCGGAAACTGGTCAATGTCAATAACGATTTACGCGCGTGGGAGAATCTCTCTCTTCAGTATCTCCGGAGTATTGTCGGCGCACTCGATCTCACCGTGTGGTACGCCTATCATCGATGTACTTATGTAAATTTTAAAGAGTTATAGACGTCGAAAGTACACCTCCGATGACGTTAGTCCTCGGAAAGAAAGAACCGTTAGGTCTCTCGCGCGAACGATCATGCTCGCCGCCCGTCGACGTTGCGTTCAGCCCTCTCTCGTTGCGCTTAATTCCCGAACGATCTATTGTCTCCTCTCGAGGCACCGAAGCAACTAGAGTCACGACTAATCGAGGTCTAATCGCTCGATCGACTTTATTCGTCCAATACTTATTTCATTATAAGATTCCAAGAAAAGAAAAAATAAGGATTTGAACTGTTATATTAATTTACTAATTTAATAATAAAAATTATATAATATTAATTAATTATTATTGATAATGATTTGCAAATATATTAAACATCAACAGAGAATATTGCAAAATATCGTGAGTGTAATTAGGTATTTATAGAAGCTTTGTGAGTTGTACCGATTTTCGAATAGTTTCGGAATTACGTAAACTATCAGTTATTCAGGCGTGAGAATTGCAATATGCTACAATCTTAGCGACTATATAAATTCATATAAACGTCGCAATTACGTAATATCTTAACATATTTTGCAGTTTTGTTCGCGCGCAATACTTCATTCGCAACTGTGCGTTTCGCTTATCTCCGTGATCGGTTTTGGCGAGTCCGGGCATCGTGTAATTAAAAACAAGGACGGTTGTTTAGATTGAGAAATTACCGAATTATTCCGAAATTCGTCCTTCCTTGCTCGAGTCGTTTCGCGCTCGTTTGCATAAACAAAATTCACCGCATCGACGATGCAAATGATTCATCACACAATGTCGGCGTTATCGACGACGATAGTAAGCTGCATCAGTTCAGTCGTTAATTATCTTGATTTCACAGTGAAATAATAAATATCGCATTCTAATCCGGCTTAAATATTTCTAGAGATAATCACTGGAATAATTAATTTACATGTATATCCATAATTAATCTGACTTAATTTCATAGTTATTATGAAGTACTCGTAAAATATCAACGAGATTTATTGATAAAATATAATTTTATAGTAAATTAGTAATTTAAATTGTAGATAACACTCCAAATATTATTTTATTATGCATGTGGTAGACATTTACATATTTACGATGAGTGTAAGCGCAATTTATTGGGTACAATTAGTTTTAAAAATTTCATTACACACATACATATTTACGCAGAGAGCAATTATAAATCATAAAAAAATAATTGGCTTCAAAACTAATTAAAAGAACTTTATATATTCTATATATAGATTACTAATAATATTTAATAATTT